GATATCAATCCCAATTATGCAGACACCGAGTACGGCCGAACACCACTCTTGTGGGCGGCCGGGGGCGGGCATGAAGGGGTGGTAAAGATGCTTTTGGAGCGACAGGATATCAATCCCAACCATCCAGACACCGGGTGCGGCCGGACGCCACTCTTGTGGGCTGCTAGGTACGGGTATGAGGGGGTAGTGAAAATGCTTTTGGGGCGACAGGATGTCGATCCCAACTACGCAGACCCCGTGTGGGGCCTCACGCCACTCTCGTGGGCAGCTGAGAACGGGCATGAGGGGGTGGTGGGGATGCTTTCAGAACGGGAAGATGCCAGCACCACTACGCCAGATAACTAGAACCAAAAACCACTGTCAAGCACTCTCCCCAGTGGATAGGACGGAACTGCGAGGATCCTATCGAAACGGGGCATCGTCAGTTTCGACATAACAGGTTGCGGTGGCCAGGGATCCCTCCCGCCCCCTTCTTCGCACGGGGGCGGGTGTGTGGAGACGCAGCCCTGAAGTGATGATTCTATGCCAGCCTCATAAACACTAATGGCCAACCTGTACTCCTACGGGCAGAGCCTAACGAGCGGGGAGGTACATTGTATGGGTTCTGCCTCCAAGTCTGCAGGTACTGACCGCCGCTCAACCGAACCATCCAGGCTCCCCCAGCCCCCTTCCATATGGCGACTAAAGTCCTGTACCCAAGGAAAACTAACACTCACCCCAACAACACTTGACCAACCCTCTCGATTGCGGTCGACCAAAATTTTATCATCACATCTCTCATGCTTTGTTCTTTTCTCCATTACATCATCTCTACTAGACATATTCTTATTCCATGGATAATTTCCAAGTGTGGGGTTAGTAACAGCATGAAAGACCTCCGCGGATTTAGATGTAAATTAAATAGACTTTGGTAATAAGTGTTCTTTTCTGGTTTTATCTCCTTTTTTCGACTTTTAGCCTTATTCCTTTCTTGGAGTTCCCGCTAGGTTTGGCCAATTTTAATCTTGTCTCTATTTCCTTGATAATATTATTCACCGGTATTTGCATTATGTTTCTAGAATGGCGGTGCACGGCCTGTTCCAAGCAAATAATGGGTACTTTGGAAGCAAAAGTTTGTGAAAGTTTTTTCTGTTTAGTTTTTTCTGTTTACCTTGAAATGCCCTGAATTATGTATCCTATATGATACCTGTTTGTTTTTTTGGGGGCTTTGCAATGTCTGCATGGTATTTGGAGTTCTTGTGACTGGCCTTTGGGAAAAAGGGGGTGTGGAAGTGTTTGCGAGGGGCCTGTACGAACTTTTTCCTGTAAGTTCCTGCGAAACGATAAAGTGCGAATTGAGTGTCAAACAACGAATATCGGGATGCAAACAACCAACTGTGAAGGCTTTCCTACGATTTGAGTGAACACAAAGACTACTGTGTTTAGGATTGGAGAGATAGTGAGTCGAGAACAGCCAAAGGATCGTGCTGTTATTCCGTTTCTCCATATATTCATGCATCTGTTCTTTTTGTGGATGTTACAAGAAGAGCTTCTTCTTGGTTTCTTTTCATTATTTTAATCAAGCTGGTATTTGTCCTTTTCAGTACGAGTAGACTAAGTTTAAACAAACCCGTCCCAGATCCTCAAGAAGGACGGTTTATCATCCCTTCCCAGTAATCCCCCTCAATGACGCCAACTGACCACCATAGGCCCCCCTCACAGACTATCCAGCATATACCCCTATGCCACCGATACGATAAATACTACACATTCCAGAAAAATCTCGAAGAATCAAGTCCAAGTTATTGCTTGAACACTGCCCAGGCTGGAATGACAGTAGGACCCCCGGTCCACCCAACACACAGCCTTGACCCCCCTCGGTTGCTCAGATCTCGCACGATACGATATGATACAAAAAGACAACCTTCCTATCTTTTAAGTACACTACCCATATACCTGTGGGCGGGGCTCAACCCGGGGGGGGTAAAATCCTCCTGGTCAGAACACCACCTCACAGATTACAATATGATATCATACGTAACCGAGATGTCTGATAAAGGCCCTGTAGTGTGCTGGCCGAATGCGGTCTGTCCGCTGCGCTGAACTTTGCCACGGAGGGAAAATGAGAGCTTGGACGGTACCAGTGCCTTCCCTATGCTGGAAAAGATTCTAAGGAACCGAGGCCGGGGTATTACTGTACTCTCCCCTGTTTCGATTTATTTTTTCGCGCCATATCATATGATGGAAGAGCCGACTATGCCCTGGCCCCGACCGACTGACCGAACGAGACTCCCGAGTGCTGCTTATGATACCATTCCCTCAGTGGTATACTTCTGGCATCAATCTATGTGTAGAGGATAATCGAGGAAAGAAAGAAAAAGAAAAAGAATACGACTTCTTAATTATGCCACGTAACAACAGCTATAGAGCACACACCAACTCGGCCGAAACTCGGAACTCGCTAGTGTGATGCGGAATCCCTCGGTAGCCAGATCACTTCGAGCTACGAGTATCTATCATAACGGGCTAAGGGTTAAAAACTCAAAGGCAAAGTACTGTTGTTTATACCGAGTGATATACCATGACGTCAGATATTACGATAAGAGGAACACCCCCCCCTCCCCCACTACCTATTAGCGTATCTTAACGATCTGGCCATCCTATCGCGGGAATATGGTGTTGCCAAGTGAGAGCTTATGCTCGCACTCACTATAGGACTTACACGTCTGCTGTATGATACGATAATCCCATTGAAAGTGGTTCTAGTGTTTTAGGCTTTAGTCGGGGGCGGATGACATCGATAACACTCTTATTCTTCTATGATATTACACTGTGGCCATGTATGTGATAATTCTAGCCAGCCTCCCCGCGCGGCGGCAGGGTCGGTGAACTCTGGAATCGGGAGTTTGTGGTCCATATTTCGCGCTTTATGGTTAACCTGATGGTTAAACTTAGTTTTAAGAACGTTCTGGTGGGTTCCCTAGGTTATTCCTCTGTTCTTAAGTTTGGTTGCTCCTAGGCCCTGGGCACTGCTGGGGCCTGTTGTAGATATTGCATCAATTTTGTCATCCGGATCGTGTCCTTGCTGTATGTCCCCGGTAGGCATCTGACCTGTGGGCCCAAGACCAGCAATCTCTACCATGTTTGGGCGGGAAACGTAACCCGATTCCCACTCGTCCCATACCTCCGGCAACACAATCAATCCGGATTCAGCCTCCTCCTTATCCCTCCTAGAAATACTCCAAACCGCAGACGCCCTCCAAACAGACAACACCTCTTCAATCATAACAGGCATGGAGCTCAAATTCCTCATTGGAAATACCCCACAGTCCCCCCCCCCTCCCAAGCCCCCCATCCTAGAAGCCATCCGCGCTAGCTCTGCAGAACTTCTTCCACTCGGGTTGCATAAGCATCCAAACCGAAATCTTCCCCCAACGACCAAACGACCACCTGGACCAAGTCAAATTCCAACTAATGGATGAGAAGCACTGCAACCCCTTCCTCCTTGACAAGACCACGGGGGAGAAGATCCCGGGGGAGGCGGTCGAGATATGTGCACCGATAATGAGGTTCCGGGGTTGGGAGTGGGCTGCACCGGCCGTATTCGAGTACCTGACAGGGCAGTTTGGCTGCCGGTTCAACATCACGACGGGCCTGCACGTGCATGTTGGGCGGGGGTGCGGGTGGGATCTCGGCACCGCAAAATCGATCGCGAAAGCGGTGATCATTTTTGAGTCTACGCTGGATTACTACCACCCACTGTACCGCCGCCCCGTGGAGAATTGGTGCATAAGCTCAAATAGACATAACAACCTCAAGCACGCTTCAAAATCTGTCATAATGAAGAGGTTGAAATATGCCGGCACGATACAGGAATTGGTCAACCTGATCAGCCCCCCAAAATTTTCAAATACAACTTCAATCCACTGAAGAAGTATGGCACTGTGAGGTTCAGGCAGGTGGATGCGGGGATTGATATGGATCGGGTTGTTCAATGGATAAGCCTTATTGTTCGCTTCGCCACAGCGGCTATGGAGGCCGCCCCGGAGGAGTTTGGGCTCTGGGCGGAAGACGAGGATCCCGTGGTTTGCTGCCCTCCCGAGGTTTTCGACAGGTTTAGTGTCCCGTGGGTGGGCATGCGGGAGAAGGTTTCGAATCTCTCAAAGGTGGAGGCTATTGAAAAGCGGGACCTCGAGATCTCTCGAACGGTACGGGAGCCGGTAGATGAGTGGACTGGGTTGGAAGTGGAGGTTAGAGTTGGGGAAGGGACTAAATCACCTTAAGAGACTGGCGACAGAAACACCCATACAATGATAGAGGAGGCTAGTCTCTATATTCCATCGCATGATAATTGGCTTGAGTAGGACTAGGATTGTAGGGTGGAGAACTAGCCTACCAAAAGGCTAACCCATTGTAATTTATATTTCTCTACCGGCGGAGTTGTGGGGGAGATTATATTTTTGGTTTTCCCCAACACCCGCCGCAACCTCTCCTACTTATTCCTCCACGGCCTCAAATGATTTATTTATCTCGAGGGATTATATAAACAAAGAAATAGAGACCTTATTTTAGGTGGGCTGAAGTGTGCCGGGGTGTTTGGAGGGGTTGAATTTAATATATTTAATACTTCAATTGCCCTGCAGATTGAATAAAAAACACCACCGCAATACAGCCTGTGCTATGGCATAATAGTATTTAGAGTAATAGAACACATTCCCGAACCGGGGAAAAGCTACACAGGAAGACCCAAGTGGTATCTATAATTTTCCAAATAAGGATGATCAACCCCAACATAATTTACATCCTTCTCCCAGCTCTCTCCCTCCCTCTCCCTTCTTCCTGGGTATCCCATGTCTAATCTCTAAATTTTATGGCTATCCCAGCCGAGTCTCTAAAAACAATCTCTGACTAAAATATCCCACCAGCATAAACTCCATCTTCTTCACCGCCTCGGTGCTTCTTCAAGCACCCACTGTATAACATACCCACTTAGGTAACCCCTCCAAGTGCTTTGCTTCCACAAGATGCCGGGGCCTTCTCTTCGTTCCAGTTCCCACCTTTATGTTTGGCAGATTTGGATGCTGGGGAATTTCCCCTCTCGTCGTTTTCCTTGTCGTGGGCAATCTGGAAGGAAAGTGGGATGGCACGTTGGAAACCTGGAGAATCCTCGGTAGAGAGTGAGCTAGCGTCTTTGTCTTGATATTCACCTCCCTCGTTATGGCAGCTGCCGGGCTCGTGTCCCGAGGACTCGGATATCGACTGTTCTTCAATCCCATGCTGATCTATAAGTTTGGAGGATTCATATTCTGGCGCTTCATCCTCATCATCAGGGTCGTCCTCTTCGTCGTCATACCAGGCTGGCTCTTCATCCTCTTCGCACTTGTAATGGGAGTCCTCCTGATCTTCCCCATCTTCATCTTTCCCCTTCTTTTGGGCCATGTCCTGCAAAGACCTCTCCACTGCAATTGCCAAGTCTCGCTGGTACCATTGATCAGCCGGACTCATGCGTGGTGTTTTATCCTCTTCACTCTCGTAATCGGGGTCCTCCTGGTCTTCCCCATCTTCATATTTCCCCATCTTTCGGGCCATGTCCTCCAAAGATCTCCGCATTGCAATTTTCAAGTCTCGATTGTAACATTTTTCAGCCGCACTCTCGCGTGGTGCTTCATCCTCGTCATCAGGGTCGTCCTCCTCATCCTTATACTCGGCTGGCACTTCGTTCTCACCAGGGTCATCAGCTTCGTCTTCATGGTCAGCTAGGACTTCGCCCTTTTCATCGTCGTCATTGGCGTCCTGGGTATCATGCTCGAGCTGATGATTGGCCAAATACTGGGTGGGCGTCTTCTCGCAAGCGTAAGTATTAGCCTCCGGAAACTCCGCCAACGGGAGAGCCCTCCTCTTTGGAGCGGGGTTGTATTCTTCATCGTCGTATTCAGCACGCTTCCTCTTGGAAGTCGGGTCATTGTACTTAAATTGGGACAAGGGTTTGGCGGAAGTCTCTCGATCCTGGGAGTAGGAGGCCTTAACTTCGGAGGGAGGGAGGGAGCGCCCCACCTTCCCAATCCTGAGCTTCTTGGGCTGAGGGGGGTTTTCGGGGTCGTATCCTGTCTCGCTCAAAAGTAACTTGAGTCTCAAGATTTCGGATTCTTGCCTCTCTATCTCTCTTCTACGCCACTTGTTGATCTCTCTGAGATCTTGGTTGCGACGCATGAGAAACTCGAGGTGCCCGTCCTTTTGCGCGTATAATCTTTTGAGTTTCCTGACGGCCCCGGGGGGAGCTAAGAATTTCTCCAGAAGTTCTTGTTCGGTGGCTCGTATGTTGGATTCAGACATGCTGTGGAGGGGTAGGTGGTTAGCTGAATATAAGATTACATGGTGGAGAGAAAGGAGATTGCTTACATGTTTTCTCACGGTGTTTAAAAGTAGTTAGATTGTGAGAAGGTATCGTTGAGACGTGGTGATCGCTATACTCGAGGCGCAAAGAAGAAATAACTATGAGAGATTCTGTTCGTGTTGCTGGTGATATAGAGTGAGGAATGTAGTTGAGGAAGGGAGGGGGGCAGTGTTCTGGATGCAGATTTATATACCGTGTCAGAAAGGGAGTTAATCCCGTGGATTCCATTCATTAGGAGCACTGAGCATGCCATTGGGCTTGATTCTTGGGGTATTAATAGGAATCGAGCGAGGGGTCTCGTTACTAACTCCCTAGCTAATTGTCTTTGGCAGCCCGAACACAATGGCCGCCCATCCCAACACACTGTACTGGGTGTGGTGCCTATAAGTAAATGGCGAGCCCACTTCTGGGCTCACGGCATTGGTAAAGCCATTGATGAATGGCATATATGTCGTTATTACCACATTAGTAGGTGATTGCCATTGAGCTCAACCTCAAGCTCGAGGTTATGGTCAGCCACAGCTCATCATGAGCCCTGGCTGGAAAGGGAGAGGCGTAGGGTTAGGGCTGCTTTGCAGGGTTCCTAACTACCGGTATTATACTTGAGGGTGGCGCTATGATACTTAGTGGACCAGACGCCATGCTAGTGGAAGGGTAGGAGAAAAATTAGGAGTAAACCAACGAATCACGTTCGGGTGCCCTCATCGTGCTCTATCCAGCCCTTATCCTCAAAGGGCTGGTGAAAACGTGCACAGGAGTGTGATATCATACTTTGCTACGCTCCGGGGGACACCGACATGTGATGCCTTGGTATCATATCAGACCGTGCTATCCTGCGCTTAAAGATCCGAAACGATAGGATTCCCGAGAACTGGGAATAGCCAGTGCCACCCCCCCCCCCCAGCCCTCTAGACCTTTCAGATCCCATTGGCTACTCTGTCTATTGACTCTATTCTTACTCTTATTTTCCCCTTATATATTCCCGATTTCATCCTGCCCAGTTACCATATCCACTACTCCATTTCTCGTGTCCTTGGCGCGCCTGTGGCCTTTGGGCCCCCGTGGCGTGCCTACGAAGCTGCCGCAATTTGGGGGGAATGTGTTGGGCGGTGAGGGTATATGTCCGGTTGAAGAAAAAGTGCAAGGAAAAGTGCAAGTCTGAAGGAAATCAAGAGCAGGTGGCGTTGGGGGTAGCTGACTGGTATCCGATGGGACATCATATGGTGTCATGCACCTAAAATGTGGACCAGGCCGTTGCGTTTTTGTAATGCTTGAATGTAAATAGGGTCTGGGGTTATAGATGTCAAAAATTAATTTTGAGGTTCTAAGTTCAATTTAGGGACATGGTATCATTTTATTATACAAAGCACCATATTTTTTTTACTGGTAATTATTAATTGTATCCCTGTTTGCCAATCTTAATCTATCAAAATATTATTTTGTACCTTTTCAAGTTCTTGGTAACTTTTCTCTATGCCCAGCTCTATCTCCTCTTATAATAGAAGTCAAAGGTCAAATTTATATGTTCAGTGGAAGTATCAATCTCATCAGAGGGTAAATAATTTGTAAAATAAAAAATTGGAAATATAATATTTGTTATTCCAACATGTATCAGAAAACCTTCAGAATGTGCAAAAAATATCAATCTAATGAAGGATTGAACTTAGAACCTCGAAATTAATTTTTGACATTTATAACCCCAGACCCTATTTACATTCAGGCATTACAAAAACGCAACAGCCTGGTCCACGTTTTAGGTGCATGGCACCATACTGCAATGGGTGAGTTTCGATCCTCAACCTGCCCCCGGGGTGAAAGAGTGCTCTGAGGAGCATCGGTAATTTAATAGTATTAGTGTTTGCTCTATCTATTGTGCTCTTACTCCCTGCGTAAGACATGACTTTTATTAGTCATCCATCCCTGCCAAATGGATATGACTAAATAGCTATTGTCACAAGTGGCAGTGCTTCGCCCCGCTTTTTCAGCTCTGGCACGGAAGGTTTATTTGAGCTTCCCCGA